ACGTGTCCAGGTCGCCCAGGCGGATGTCTAGCATGAGCATTTGTTGAGGATGTCTCGAGCGAGACGCTTGTTTGCACGTGTCCAGGTTGCCCAGGCGGATTTCTAGCATGAGGATGTGCTGACAACGTCTTGAGCGAAACGGGTGTTTTCACGTGTCCAGGTCGCCCAGGCACAGCACAGCCCTCGGCACGGTACATCAATATCGATACCCTTAGCATTGCAGCCTGGCATGTAGCTGGTGCCGTTCCCCGCGAGCCGGCACCATCGCGCGCGGTGCACGTCCAAAGGCACGTACCGAAAAGCGCGTCCCCTTTGGGACGTCCAGCGGTGCGTGCTCATGCCTCGGCGTGCTCATGGGCACGTCCCCCCTGGCACGTCGCCTGGCGCGTCCCTTGGGACGTTCCGCGGCGCGTCCTCCTGGCATGTTCCCTCTGTCGATTAGTTCTGGGGCAGCTACCATCAGCTCAGGCAGCTCGAGCTTACGCTCCAGATCAGTTCGGTGAGGACTCGGATGCCAGGGAGGACTCGATCCACAACGCTATATAGAGCACAATAGCGGCATGGCACATCGCAGTTCAGCGCCCGGCCCCAATTGCAAACATCAACAGCCGTCGGCAATGCGCATCCAAGTCTAAGTCATCAACATGCACCTGGCACGTGGCTGGTGCGTTTTCCGTGAGATTCCACCTGTGCACTTTCGGCGCGGCGCGTTCCCCCTGGCTCCTCCCGCCGGACCTCGTCCCTTGGCACGGTTCCGTAGCGCGACCCCTTGGCACGTCCATGCGGTGACGTGGCCCATTGGGCAAATTTCCCCTGGCAGGTCGCAGCAGCAAGCCAGGAGCGTCCCTTGGACGTTTCCACGGCGCGTCCTCCTGGCATGTACCCTCTGTTGGTTAGTTCTGGGGCAGCTACCATCTGCTCAGGCAGCTCGAGCTTAAGATCCAGATCAGTTCGGTCAGGACTCGGATGTCAGGGAGGACTTGATCCACAACGCTATATAGAGCACACTCGCGGCATGGCACATCGCAGTTCAGCACGGGGTAGCACAGCACAGCCCTCGGCACAGTACATCAAGATCGATACATACAGCATTGCATTTGCCCGTCGCCCACTCAGGTGTCTTTGAAACGTCGCCATGCCTTACATTTCTATATTCCTTTCCGGGTTCGTGGGTCGATCATGTTATGTATCGATGTATGTATGTATATATGTTTGTGTAGGTATGTGTTAACGTCGGTATGGCATGTATGCATGCATGCATGCATGTATGTACGTATCTATGTATATAACTGAGTCTGTAGACGCTTCTGAAGGGCTTCTAGAAGTTTCTAGTCGTCTCTGAAGGGCTTCTAGAAGGCCTGCTTCCCTCCTCCTCCTCTCCCCTCCTTCCCTGGCTGGAGCCAGACGCCTCCGAAAGGGCCCCTTGGCGCCTCTGAAGAGCCTCTAGACGATTCCGAAGAGCCTCTGGATGCCTCTAAAGGGCCTCTAAACGCCTCCGAAGAGATTCTAAAGGGGTTCTAGAGGCCTCCCTCCCTCCGCCTCCTCCACCTCCCTCCTCCCTCCCCTCCTCCTCCACCTACCCTCCACCTCCTCTCCCTTCCCACCCTGGCCTGAGCCGCATTGTTCCCTAAGGGCGCTGGGCCCAGGTACTCTTTTTCTATTGAAAACATGTCCCCAGGTGCCCCACTTGAAAGGGGCCGGCGAAAATTTCCCTGATAAATATCGAGGTCGCCGGACGCCTGTCGAAATATGTTTTGAGGATTGTATCCTCGAGCGACAACACATCTGTTTATTGAAATCCCGTATCTCGATATAATTCACATGGTGCGGGCCACCGGCTCTGAGTTTGAGGAATGTCTGCGGACAGAAAAAAGAAAAACGCTATGCTCCGCCGAGTTTGGGCCGAGATGATGTCTCGAGCGAAAAAACGCTGGTTGTTTGCGAGCCGACCGCGACGCGGAAAAGAGCGCCCCGCGCGAAAGCAATTTCGATAATGTCTCGACTAATTCGTTTGTTTTTGTACGATTTCCTGGAATTTGGCAGGATGTCTCGAGCGAAATGCACGACCCCACCCTAGCACGACCATACCCCAGCACGACCACACCCCAGCACGACCAGACCCCAGCACGACCCCACCCCAGCACGACCCCACCCCAGCACGACCATACCCCAGCACGACCACACCCCAGCACGACCCGACCCCAGCACGACCCGACCCCAGCAAGACCCCACCCCAGCACGACCACACCCCAGCACGACCTCACCACAGCACGACCACACCCCAGCACGACCACGCCCCAGCACGACCACCCCCCAGCACGACCACGCCCTAGCACGACCACACCCCAGCACGACCACTCCCCAGCACGACCACACCCCAGCACGACCACGCCCCAGCACGACCACACACCCCAGCACGACCCAAACCCCAGCAGCACGACCAGCATCCCAGCAAAAACGACCACACTATCCCGCAATCACGAAACCAACACCCCCGCCCGACCACAATATTAACCAACCAGCACGACCAACACCCGCCAGACACCTCAGACGCACCCCCAGTGGAATGTTTTCGTGGCGTGTCCTCTCGGTTGAGTGGTTGTCCTGATCGTTGGGGTGTCTCGTGGAATGTTTCACGGGGTGTCTCGTGGAATGTTTCGTGAGGTGTCTCGTGGAATGTTTCGAGAGGTGTCTCGTGGGATGTTTCGCGGGGTGTCTCGTGGGATGTTTCGTGAGATGTCGCCCAGTTGGGTATCGTGAAAACGTGACCATGCTGCACATGTCTTTATCCCTTTCCGGGTTCGTGGGTCCATCATGTTTTTCTCTCGAGCCTCTGGACGCCTCTAAAGGGCTTCTAAACGCCTCCGAAGAGATTCTGAAGGGCTTCTAGAGGCCTCCCTCCCTCCTCCTCCTCCTCCTCCTCCTCCTCCTCCTCCTCCTCCTCCTCCTCTCCCTTCCCTCCCTGGCTGCCCGCTTTGTTTTTCTCTCGCCAGGCTAAAGCGCCCTACGCCTTCTGCCCCCAGTGCTCGGCCAGGCGCGCTACCCTGTCCGCCTTCAAAGGGTGGTGGCATCGAAACCACCATTGGTAGGCGTAGCTCCAGAGCTCCACGTTCAGATTGCCCTCGCCGTCACTCCCCCGCGTTCCCTTCGGAGTCCAATCCTTGATGCGCGACCACCGCTCATCGATCAGACTTGTGTTCGCATCGAGTGTGCCATACCCACGCGCACGCGCCTTCTACTTCCAGATCCCCTTGGAAATAACACAAGATCGATGGCGTAGGCCATGCTCACGAGCGAGGCGGGCGCACTAACGAGCACCGTCAGAGACCGGTACCGGCTTGTTAGCGACGCGGCGAAGGCCGCCCGACGCCAAGACGTCCTCGCGGCACTCTACCTGGGAGGGAGAAAACCATACAGGTCAGTCTCTTGGCCCTCCTCCTCCCCTCTGGGAGGGAGGGGGAGGGAGAGGGGAGGGCCTCTGAGGGGGAGGGAGAGGGAGAGGGAGGGGGTGGGAGGGGGTGGGAGAGGGAGAGGGGAGGATGAGGGAGTAAGAGGGCCCCACATCATGAGAGGAAGTGTCGAACGAGAGGCCCAAAGAGATTGCGCCCTTCTGTGCAGCATGAACGAATTGCAGGAATGAGTCAGAAAACAACACCAAAAAGGCACTGTGCTTTTTGGTAGTGGACAATGATGATCAATACCTACACGACCGCCCTGCGGGCGATAAGGAGGTTGGGGGGGGATTGAGATCAAATGCCCACCCTGACTGACCTCCAGCCTGTCACCTTGATCTCATCTCTCCCTTTCTCTCTGTCTCTCTGTCTCTCTCTGTCTCTCTCTCTCTCTCCCTCTCTATCAGAGTCTCCCTCCACCACGATGATGATCGCGATGACGATGACATTGGATAAGAAAGCCCGCCGCAGGCGCCGACAAAAATGGATTGATGGATTGGGTTGGGTGGATTGGATAGGATGGGATAAGATGGATTGGATAAGATAAGATGGGTTGGATTGGAAGACGTGGATTGGATAAGATAAGATGGATTGGATTGGCCCGCCGCAGTTGCATAATCAAATGACTTGCTGGATTGGGTTGGGTGGATTGGATGGGTGGGATAAGATCAGATGGGACAAGATGGGTTGGATAAGATAAGATGGGTTGGATTGGACAAGATTGATTGGATAAGATAAGCTGGATTTGATAAGAGAGCCCGCCTCAGGCGCCGAAAAAAATGAATTATGAAATTAGCGACATGCTTTAGCGCCGGGACGCCCGGGACACTTGGGACACCCGGGACACCGCCCGGCGCAATTGGGACACCTCCCGGCCACTTGCGGACGGGAAACGGACTCTCGCTCCTACTGACACCCGGGACACCCGGGACACCCCCTGGCCCAACTGGGACACCTCCCAGCCACCGGCGGACGGGAACGGACTTTCGCTCCTACTTCGGCCTAGCTACAGGAGGATCACGCGCAGCTTCGCCTCGCCCGCACGCACGACACGAACACGAACACGACACCGATTTCCCGGTGGGGGGTCTCCGTTTCACTGCGATCTCACCCCCAACCTCCGATGTATACACGAGGAACTACCGTCACGGACCACTCTCTGGCGTAGGCCACCCAGCATCTAGGACACACTACCACCTACGAGCTCCTCCAACTGCCGAGCCGCAACAAGCCAGTCACGAGCCAGAGTGCCTCGTGCACGAGGTGTACACTTTGTGGCATTGCTGCTAGGACGAGCACGAATCACGTAACACTACCTAGCACACCTACCACCGAAGACCACCTAACACGAACAAGAACCGCCCACCGCCTACTACCACCAACAAACATGACCGGTAATGAACAACACAACGCCTACTATCCGTAGCCATTTTGGCTCAAGTGATGCCGCAGCTGGTCGTAGCTGCAACGAGTCGGCCAGTACGAGGTGCGCGTCAGCACAGCAGGAGGAGTGACCCGACCAGGGGTTGCTAGTTGCCGAGTCGGCTTATGGACCTGATGGGATCACACCGCATGATCAACCACAGCGACAGCGAGTCCATTGGTTCCAGGATCGAGAGCTCCTCGGGCTTCGGGGACGAGAGCTCTTCCGCGTTGAGCCACGAAGTCCTCCCATGGCACGGGCAGTCCGTGGTTGCTGGACAGCCCGCAGAAGGCCCTCATGTTTTTCTTGCGGATAGCGCGAGCAATGCAGACAGCAGCGTGCAAGAGAGTGGATTCGAGGAGAGCTCGGTCCAGAGTTCGGCTCTGGACAACCAGGGTAGTCTGCCATTGTGCGAGCGGGACGGCTGCGTCATGCAGATCTCCGACCGCTTTCCGGATATCCTCCGCTTGAGGCCGCACTACCTCTGCAGCCGCTGCTTTGGCAGCTCTCAGCAGGGCCACTTGGGAGGCTCCTCACGGAGATGGATGTGCCCAAGGTGCCGGAACGACACTTGCTTGCAGTGCTACCCGAAGGAGCCCACGGCGGAGCAGCCTGCGCCGGCCGCCGCCCGCCCCGGCGCCGGCACCGGCGCCCGCTCGGAGAGCGGCGGCGAAGACGGCGAGGATGAAGATCAAGAGGTCGCGGAGGAGGTCCTCATGAAGTCGTCGAAGGGCAGCGCGCAGCACTTCGCCGGCATTTGCAGGCCATGCATGTACATGAACACCCAGGTGGGCTGCAGGAATGGGGTCGACTGCAATTTCTGCCATGTACCTCACAAGCGAAAGCGCAGGGCGCGGCCGAGCAAGGCCACCCGGATGCAGTGCAAGCAGCTGGTCGCCATGCTTGATTCCGCACATGGCGACGACGATTCCCAGGTGGCGCAGGCAGCGGAGACGCTGGCGGCGGACAGCGCCTACATGCGCAGCATCCTCGCTGCCAAGGGCAGACAGCACCCTGGCCAGGCCGAGGAAGCGCAGGCCCAGGCCGCCCGGGGCAGCGCCGCGCAGTCGTGGGAATCGCAGCCGCCAGAGCTGACGGAGCCGCAGGGTTCTTCGGGCCAGTGGCCCGTCGCCCAGTGGCGCGGCGGCCCAGACCAGGAAGACGCCAGCCCCGTCGGCGCGCCGTCGACGAGGCAGCGCGCAACGGTGGCCAAGCAGAAGACCGACAGAGGAGCCGCTTCTGCCGGCAGCGGTGAACCTCGGAGGCACTGACGTGGCCTAAAGTCAGAGTGACGCGGGCACAGATATGAGGGTGGACTTTTCCTCGAGCCTGAAGGAGGCCCGACTAAATGAATTATTTTCTGGTGGGCTCAATCGGAGCGGCTGGTGGCGTGGATGGCTAGCCGCTCAGTGATAACGCCGTGCAAGTACAGTATACGGTTGGGCAAGATTTAATGGCAAGTGTGATGTGTTTTGGTATGTCACGTGCTAGGGGGCGCGAATCTAGCGCATTGCAATATTTCTCAAATGTTACATAGACCCACGTGGCTCCTGCGCGTAGTCATCGCCAGGGTCCTCGTTCCAGTCATTTGCTTCTGGATGGCTGGCCTGGTGCGAAGATAGATCGAGTAAGCCAAGGTGTGGACTCGTCCTCTCAGTTGCGCAGTGTAGAGCCACTGTTAGTGGTTGTTGCGATAGGGGAAAAAAACACAACGCCTACTACGAACGTCGATGACGACCAGGACCATCGACTAGAGAACCACCAGGTGTAAGTGCACCCGATCGGATATTCCTCTTCCTATATTTTTATAAGGCCGGGCGGGGGGACCCCCCAACAAAAATCGGACTCCCGGGATCTGGGGCTTTGGGACCCTCCTGACGGGCCTCGAAGCGGCCCCCCGGGCTTCGCAGGGCGTTTTGTCAAGCCTTCCCAGCACACCTAGGGCGATCAGGGGGGTCATCGGAGACGTCTCAGAGACCCCCAAGATAGCACAAGAGCGCTTCAAGAGTGACCGACGTGACCTCAAGATGGCCTCAGAGGCCTCCAGGACGGCCCCAAAGAGGCCTCCAAGAGCACTCCCAAAAAGGCCCCAAGAGGCAGGATTTTCTGTTGGGTTTTGGTGAATTCTGGGGTTCTCCTCTTTTCGGCTTCCCGACGCTCCAAGATGGCGGTCTTCTGGGCGTCCGAAGCCGCCTGGGAGGCTCCAAAATCGCCCCACAACCATCCGAAAGGGCTTCCAGGCAGTCCAAGAGAGCCCCAAGACGGCACAACAAGGGTCCAAGATGGCCCTCAGAGAGCCCCATGGCGGCCCAAGATGGCCCCAACACACCCTCCGAAGCATTCCAAATCGTGACCCGGTCGTTCAGGGAGACCGCGGTTGGAGGCAGGGTGGCCCGAGGAAGCCCCCAGAGGCTCCCAGAATACGCCCAGGAGGCCTCCAGAAGGCCTTAAGAAAGCCTGGAACAACTTTTGTGAGGCCCCCAGAGGCTCTCCCAGGAGGAGTCTCCGCAAAAAAGAGCTGAGGAGGATGGGGAGAATGCGCAGGGTATGGCGAAAATGAGGAAAAAGAAGCATGGAGGAAGGATAACGAATAACATTATCATAGCGGCGATGCCGGAAAAGGCAACAAGGAGCTATCGCTAAATTGTCGGCTTGACCTTCCTGCTATTCCGCCTGCATACCAAACTTCAAGGACCAAGGTGCATGGCGCGAAGCGCCACTGCAGTCTTGTATCTGTATATCTCTCTCTCTATATGTATATATATATATATATATATGTTTGTATGTATGATACCGGAGAAAAACCCAATCAGAATTTGTTTGGGGCTATAGGGCTATAGGGCTATAAGGCTATTATAGGGCGATAGGGATATAGGGCTATAAGGCTATAGGGCTACAGGGCACCCGGCACCCGGGCACCCGGCACCCGGCACCCGGGCACCCCACAATCGGGCACGCAGACGGGCACCCGTCAACTCGTGCAACACTCAAGAACAGAGCCCGGCACCGTGCATCCCGGGCACCCGGGCACCCGGCACCCGGCACCCGGGCACCCACCCGGGCACCGGGCACCCGTCACTCGGGCACCCGGGCACCCGTGCATCCGGGCACCCGGGCCCGGCCACCGAATCGGCGGCGAACCCGGGCACCCAGGCACCCGGGCACCCGGGCACCCGGGCCCGGCCACCGAATCGGCGGCGAACCCGGGCACCCGGGCACCCGGGCACCCGGGCACCCGGGCACCTGGGCCCGGCCACCGAATTGGCGGCACACCTCACCTACCATTAAATCCGCTAGGACCCCTACAGAGGCAAGCTCTGATTGGGGAATATTCTCATACGCACCTCTCCGAGGGAGCAGAGCTCAAAGGCGATTAATGCGTACGCGGGGCGCCGCGTTCGCGATTTTTCTGGCCGTTTCGCTGCGGACATCTTCGAAATTCTGAAAATCGGTGGCACCCCTCGCGCAGATCGTGACACCAGGGTCCAAAAACACATGGGAACTTCAACATGTTAACATATAACCTTCAAAAACACTTGGTAATTTCAATGATTTTGACTCCGATTCTCAGAGAATGGCGGTTTCGCCTGAAACATCCTTCCAAAATCGAGCCCCGACGTACCCTCTGGTACCCCAGACCCCGCCTTGGAGCCTCCTGGGGGCCTCCGCTTTCTGAACCTTCTGGTACCCCAGACCCCGCCTCGGAGCCTCCTGGGGGTCTCCTGAAACCTCCTGGGGCCTCCTGGGGCCTCCTGCGGCCTCCTGGAGCCTCCTGGGGCCTCCTGAAGCCTCCTGGGGTCTCCTGGGGCCTCCTGAGGCCGCCTGGGGCCTCCTGGGGCCTCCTGGGGCCTCAGAACTACATGCACACACAGAGACACAAGTCACGCCCAACACATCACACGCTGGACAAACATAACACACACAAACCTACAACGCACAAAAAGCACGCACAACACAGAGCAGACATCACACACACACACAACACTCACAATCCTGGGGCCTCCTGGAGCCTCTTCTGGTATCCAAGTCGGGCCTCCTGAGGCTTCCTGGGGGGCCCTGGTATACACATCGCAAGGTGTGGCAACCCCACTTGCGCTCGAGTGCGACTTCGCTGTTGCATTTCACTCCTGCTTCAAACGCCCCTTCAGTTTTTGTATGAGCCTGGGCACACACGTGCCACTTGTATATATGTGTATATATATATATATATATATATATATTATATTATAATATATATACTATTACGCGACGTGTTGTGTGATGTGTGTGTGAGTGGTATTGTTGCGCGGGTGTGTGATGTGTGTGTGTGCTGTGTGTGTGTGTGTGTGTGTGTGTGTGTGTGTGTGTGTGTGTGTGTGTGTGTGTGTGTGTGTGTGTGTGTGTGTGTGTGTGTGTGTGTGTGCGAGGCCTCTGCGTGTAGGCCCCAGCTTTGCAGGGCTGCCGGCGCGCCCGCACCCCGAGGCCCGCGCGTTTTCTCCCCCACATTAGCTCGCGCTTGTCGCCCCCGCTCGCCCCCGATTCCCTGCGCGCTGCCCGCGCGCTTCGCCCGCCCGCCCGCTTCCGGGTGGTTTGCCTTGCGTTCGCTCGCCTCGCGCAGCCACCCTCGCGCAGTGGACTTGGACTAGTGCGCGCCCCATTCTATCCCTCGCTGTGGTGGCGCCACTTGGCCGCTGGAGAGGAAATCGTATGTGCGTGTGCATGTGTGTGTGTGCGTGTGTGTGTTCATGTGTGCGTGTGTGCGTGTGTGTGTGTGTGCACGTGTGTGTGTGTGCGTCTGTGTGTGCACGAGTGCGTGTGTGTGTGTGTGTGCGTGAATGTGTGCGTGCGTGTGTGAATGTTTGAATTCATCTGTGCGTGTGTGTGTGTGTGCGTGTGTGTGTTCATGTGTGTACGTGTGTGTGTGTGTGTTCATGTTTGCGTGTGTGTGTGTGTGTGTGCGTGTGTGTGTGTGTGCGTGTGTGTTCATGTGTGCGTGTGTGTGTGTGTGTGTGTTCATGGGTGCGCTGAGGAAGAGGAAGAGGGGAGGAGGAGGAGCAGGAGGAGGAGGAGGAGGAGGAGGAGGAGTCAGGCAGGCCCCCCGTCAGGCCAGGGACAAGGCACTCCCGGGCGTGCCAGGCCGGGCAGGTGCGCCGCGTTGGTTGCACCACGGGGCCCCCTCGGACGGGACCAGGACGAGGACAAATCCGTTCCGGAGCGTTCCAGGGCGCCCTCAGAGCGTTCCAGAACGCTCGGAGAAGGCCGCGGCGCCCGATACGACTTCCAGCGCCGCCGAATCCCAGAGGTTCTCGATACATCCTCGCCCGAAGTGAGCCTCGTCCTGGTTTCGTCTTCGGTGTGCGGCCGGAGGTGGGTGGCGGAGCCTCGGCCTGCTCCCATGGTCTGGGCTCGCACCTGTCTTGCCCGCCCCTCCTCGTCGCCTTTCACGGCCTCTGTCGCCTCCTGCCCCTCCTCGTGGTCCTCGCTTCCCTTCCTCCTCACTATCCTCGCCCCTCGTCCTGCCTGGGGTTTGCCCCCCTCTGCCCGTTGTTTCCTTTCCTTGTGCGCACCCCCTCTTACACCTCCTCCCACTCCTCTTCCTTGTCCTCCTGATTATCTTTATGTTCCTCGTCCTCATCCCTCTGCTCACCATCTCCCTCCTCCTCATCCGCCTCCTCGTCCTTCTCCTCTTCCCCCCCCTCCTCCTGCACTCCCTGCCTTCGTGCCCCCCGGAGGAGTTCCAGACCTCCGAGCCGGCAGTGCGCACGCTCGGGGCGGACGAGATCGTGGAGCTGCTGGAGGGCCCCCGGAAGGAGACCTTCGCGCCGGCGCTGCGGGCCCGGGGCAAGGCCTGCAAGGACCAGGCGCGGGGCCTTTCGGGGGGGGGCGCGAGGGGAGCGAGGGGGAGGAGGAGCGAGGAGGAGGGAGGAGGAGCGAGGAGCGACGATCGAGGAGGAAGAGGAGGAGGGAGAGGAGGAGGAGGAGGAGGAGGAGGAGGAGGAGGAGGAGGAGGAGGAGGAGGAGGAGGAGTGAGGAGCGAAGAGCTAGGAGCGAGGCGCGGGAGGAGAAGGAGGACCGGAGCAAACCCACGAGGCATCGACGATGTTGCAAAAACCCATCCCTCCAAGTTCCTCCTCAAGGTCCATACAAGAACTTATGTTCACTGCTGGAGGTGACCCGCTAGAAATCCACTGTCTGAACATCCAGATGTGTGCTAAAACGCTGTTTCTGAGACTTTTACGCTGCGGATCAACGTGACTGTTGCGGCCGGACAGTCCTCGATCGCGCAAGACCGCCATTCCTAGGATTTCAACACCTCGAATCATCATGGCTGCTGCGTCCTGATAATATGCAACATTGCCAGAACACTATTCAATGATCCTTGGGACGTCGACCTCACGAATCCGTCAAAACGCTGCAAACCTGTAAGACGAATGTTCGCGGCGCGAAGGCGAGAGCCACATTTTGAAAAGGAACCGCTCTTCATCCTTGCCCTTGGCCCCACCACTCTTCGGAGACCAGGGCGTTCTCCCTTGGCTGATACAGACAGGTACTGAAGCAGGCATGCTTCCAGGAATATCCCGAACGCCGAAAGCGACCCATTCCCTGGGACCAGCTTCTCCTCCCGCGAGTCGTTTTGTTGACAGTCCTGGGGCTTGGCGAGGGCCTCCAGAGGCCGAAATTGGCCCAAAACCTCACGCGAGGGGGTCTGGGGCTTCTGCAGTGCACAGAGCTCATCCCTCGTTGCCTGTCCTCTTGCGCTGTCGTTTCTGCGCCTTGTGGCCATCGTTGCTTCCTCCTCGGCCTCGTCGTCCTCCTCTCCCTCGTTCCCTCGTCGTCCTCCGCGGCGCTTAGTGCGTGCCGCGGCGCTGCACGTTCGTCGGCGAGACACCTCGTCGGCGAGCCGAAAGGAAACACGAAGCGCATGCAGTGGAAACCCACGCCACGAACCGCCCTGCTTGCTTCCAGGGTGCCCTGGACTTTTGGGGCTTCGATGTTCCCGGAAAGGGCGTAGGGCGTAGGCCCAGGGTTCTCTTTTAGCTGTTTACCCCCGGACCTGACTTGAGGTGGGCCGGCGGAATTATTCCCGAATAAATATCGAAGTCGAGGTGGGCCGGCAGAATTATTTTCGAGGATGTCCCTAGCGAAACGCTTGTTTTTCAGAATTTGTTGAGGACCTCTCGAGCGAAACGCTGGTTTTGCAGAGTTGGGGATGTCTCGAGCGAAACGCTTGTTTTCAGAATTTGTTGAGGATGTCTCGAGCGAAACGCTGGTTTTCAGAATTTGTTGAGGATGTCTCGAGCCGAACGATGGTTTTGCCAGAGAGCCGACCGCGACGCGCCTTTTTTTCTTTTTTTGTTTTTTTTGTTTTTTTGCGGGAAAAAAGCGCCCCGCCGCCCGCAGGAAGTCCGTGGATTTTTGCGCGGGCCCGCGTCCCGCGCGCAGGGAAACAATTTCGAGGATGTCTAGATGAATTCGTTTGGACTAATTCGTTTGTTTTGCCAGGATGTCCTTGAATTTTGGCAGGATGTCTCGAGCGAAATGCTTGTCTTTCATAATTTGTTGACGACGTTTCGAGCGAAGCGCTGGTTTTGCAAAATTGGGGGATGTCTCGAGCGGGGGCCTCGTGGGGGGCCTCGTGGGGGGCCAGAATTTAGAGGATGTCTGAGGCGAAATGCTTGTTTTCACGCCCCGCTCGCAAGAATTCCGAGGATGACTCGCGCGTGCCGCGTCCCGCGCGCCCGCGGTGCGTCCCCATGGCACGTCCCTTGGCACGTCGCTTGGCGGGTCCCTTGAGACGTTCCGCGTCGCGTCCTCCTGGCATGTCCCTTTGTCGATTAGCTCTGGGGCAGCTACTATGTGTTCAGGCAGCTCGAGCTTAAGATCCAGATCAGTTCGGTCAGGACTCGGATGCAAAGGAGGACTCGATCCACACCGCTATAGAGCACAATCGCGGCATGGCACATCGCAATTCAGCACGGCGCAGCACAGCACAGCCCTCGGCAGGGTACATCAAGATTGATACACTCAGCAATGCATTTGCCCGTCACCCAATCAGGTGCCTTTGAAGCGTTGCCATGCCTTACATTTCTATATTCCTTTCCGGGTTCGTGGGCCGATCATGTTTTTGTTGGGGCTGTGGGAAGCGTGGCGCTCCCACACCCAAGGATCAATGGACGTCCTGGGGTCTCAGGTGCGTCGGGGTTCTGAGAAACTGCTGGTGTCACTCTGACTCTTCAGTTGGCTCCCTCCTCCCCTCAGCACCCGCGCGCCGCGCAGCATCCGGCTCTGGCGCGGCTCTGACCGAAAACCGTAGAAACGGGTGAGGGAGGCAGGGCACCAGCTTGTGGAAGGCCTCTCGTGGTCGAGCTCCCACCGTAGCTCAGCACACGCCGGTGCTGCGGCCGCTGGCCCAGCCCTGCCAGAGGACGCGGCCAGGGCCGACGCAGCGCGGGCAGCGCCGCCCCCTCGGGGCAGCGCCCCCCCTCCCTGGGGCACCGTCGGCGCGCTCGCGCGGCGGGGCTGCGTGCCCCGAGGCGAGTGCTGTTTGCTTCCCTGTGGGCCCCGACGCGCGTTGTGCCCCCCTGCCCCTTCCGCCCCTCCCGACGCGCGTTGTGCCCCCTCCCGCCCGCCCCCCCCCTCCCCCCTCGCCGTGGCCATCTTGGCTCAGGATGGCGCCCTCGCGCGCCTCGCGGGCCCCGCGACCATCTGCCAGTGGGAGCGCCGCGCGGGCCGCAGGGGCGCCCCGGCGCGCGCCGGGCGGGCTCCGCGGCCGCGCGGCGGCGGGGCCGGCCGCATGTCGCCGCGCGGATGGGGCGCCCGCACCCGGCGCCGCCACGAGGCCGCCGCCGTGGTGGCAGGCGGCGCGGCGGCCGCCGCCGCGGAGGGGCAGGAGCTGGCCGCCAGGCATGTGCCCATGGCGATCTCTCCTCGGCACGCCGCCCGGGTGCGGCCGCTGTTCCGAAACGCGAGCGCCGAGGCCCACCAGACGGGGCGGCTGCCAGACTGGTGTCCGACGCTGTCGAGGAGGGGCTGGCAGACGTGCTGCAGCTTCCGCGCCTTCGACGTGCTGGGGAGCGTCGGGTGCTTCGGGCGGTGGCCCAGCTGGGAGGTCCACATCTGCTGCGCCTCGCGCGAGGGCGAGGCCCAGCTGCAGCACCTGTGGCGGCGCAACTTCTCGGACTGGCACTTGCGGGCCGCCTGGGACCCTCTGCCTGGAGGCAAGCGGACGCAGACCTTCTTCATAGTTCACCACAAGACGGGCCATAAGCTGGTGCAGTCGCTGCTAGAGAGCCCCGGTGCCATGCGTAAACATTTGGGGTGGACCTCCGCACGGGTCAACGGGCTGACCTTGGATCGTCCCGAGGCCGCGTTGCCTCCTTTCTTCCAGAGTTGGGCCAGGCAGTACGTGGCGCAGATGGGGCCCGACAGCGACACAGAGGATATGTGGGACAGGTCGGCCTGGATGGTATCGAACCCCAGCTTCATGATGCCGCTCGCCGTGCACCACGGCCTCACCCGTCCGGTGCACGTGGTCCGCCGGCCCAGCGAGCTCGTGGTGTCGGCGTACCGCTACCACAAGACCTGTGGCGCGGCCACGGAGCCCTGGATCGAACTGATGGACCCGCCCTCCTGCCTGGGGTGCGACAGCCTTGCCTGGCGCGAGATCTTCGCCCGGTGCGACTTCGCGTGCAGCTACGAGCAGCTGCTCCAGAGAAGCCCAGTGCGCGAGGGCCTCCAGATCGCGGCGTTGAGCAGCAGGTGGCAGGTGCTCAGGATGCTGGACTTCGCGCACGAGTGGCACGACAGCCCGATGGCGCTCCAGGTGGCGCTCGACCGTTTCGAGAGCAACTTCGACCAGACCGTCCGCTGCGTCACGCGCTTCGTCCTGAACGAGCCCCCGCCGGCGCCCCCGTCGGTGGACTTGGAGCGACTCGTCGCCGAGGCGCGGGAGATCTCGCCCGCGGCGGTCAGGCAGGCTTGCGGCGGAAGCCTTGTCGAGGCGTGCACCCTGCAGCAGGGCGAGGCCGCCGATCACATGTCGCCACTGGGCGAGCGGCGCTCGCTGCGGTCCGAGCTGAGGCAGCTCATGCAGACGTCCGCGGGCTGGCTCGGCGCGCTCAGGTCGGCGGACCTCCTGCTGGACCGGCTGCTGCTCCACAGCGGCACGGCCCGGAGGTTCGGGTGCTGAGGGCGGGGGCGGCGCCGTTGGGGCGCGGCTCGCGCAGCGGCGAGTGGCCTGCTCGGGCGATCGGGACCGAGGAGCGGCCCACTGCATACGGTGGGTCCGCGTCGTGCCGACGCGGCACGCTCGCCGCCGCCGCCCACGCAATCAGGAGAGATGAGGGGCCGGACGCTTGTTGCGGATGTCGCATGCTCAGCGCAGCTTCTGGGTTGGTTGTTTTTCCTCCCGCGCTGCTTTTCAGAGCCTGACCTGCCACAGTCGGGCGCCGCACGGAAGCCCTCAGGGAGAATGCCCCCCCCCCCTCCCCCCTCGGTAACGCAACGCTCCCCCCCCCCTCCCCAGTGCGACGGAAGTGACGAGGGCGGCGGGTCCGCCCACCGTATATCGGTGGACGGCTCCGCTGGGCGCTGCGCGTCAAGGCCTCGTTGGCGCTGCCCGCCTGCGGCAGCAGCCGGAGCAGCTCGCGGCGCGCGCGAGGCCGCGAAGGGCGGCGGGAGTGAAAGCGGGACGGCAGCACTGCCGGGATCAGGATTTTCCAGGGTCCGCCGCGTGGCGCCTGCGCCGAGTGCACGGATCGCCTCCGCGGCTGCCAGCGCCGCCACGCCAGCGGGAACGGCGAGGCCGTCGCCAGCGGCACGGGGTCGCCCCCGAACGCAAGGGTCAGACTCAACGTGGGGG